TTATACAAGCTAAAGAGACATGTAATAGCTTTCTTAGTTGATTTAGATTTAGATACAAATTAGAGATAAAAACTGTAGATCAGTAAGGGGAGACAACTCTATTATTGTAGAGTTAGAATTGTTAGCAACTGTGGATATTCTTGGATTTAAACCAAGTTCTTCTTTAATTTGTAAAGTTTTCTAGAAAATTGTAATTTGAACTCACCAAGTAATAATAATGACAAGAATGATAACTAATATTCCAATTATACAACCTAGAATTATTGGTACTGGAATGGAGTTTTACGTCTTAATGAGTATGAAATGAAATACAAGAATACACTAGATATTATAATTATAATATATAATAAACTATTGATAGCATATTATATTCGTTAGGTATTCTATCGACCTCTTTCTGAAACTCACTCACAGCCATATTGTTTACAGACTTTCTATGGATGATTATGGTTGGCTGTAATCGCCAACCAAATCGCCGCACTTGCAAGCTTCCGAAAGCATGAACAAAACTTACACAGTGAGTTATCACCACCATCATCATCATCATCATCAGTATTATTAGAAATACTGTCTACTGTCTGAGATACGTCAGAAGTTTTAGGAAGCGATGTTGTGGTGGTTGATGTTGTGCTAGTTGGTATGCTAGTAGTGACAGTCGTTGTTTTAGTGTTCTTATTTTGTTTCTGACATGACTGTAGCTGCTACTGAAAAGTCTGAAAAAACAAGTATTTGTAATACGAGTTTAAAAAAGATTTCACACTTCCACGAATATCGAATCCGAAGTAATAATCGTCAATACCAATAACCCCAACTTAAAAACAACATATTTAGTTTTGTTCTTATAAATTTTGCAAGAAAATCTCTATGTTGATTTAACAGTTAAAATTTCATCAATTTTATCAAACTCAACCAATCCCACTCCGTAATATCAACAGTTATGACCCGCAATATAAAATATAAGCAACATTTTATTGCTGATAACCGAAACATAAACGTTCATAAATAGAAATAGTTAGAATAGAATAGTTCTGATGAACTTGTGGTTATAATGAAATCAAAAACATAAATCTCCAGAACCAATATTTTGATTTCTCATTGGAAGATACAGGATACCAGTCAATTCCATATTAAATGTAGAATTCTGGTACTTGCTTTCAGTCCGAGTGATATAGAGAAGCTTTGCTGGTGAACTATCTTTAGTAGTTAACTTTATTGTTCAGAGTGTTATGAAAATAAGATATTACCTGGTGACGTTGTTATGAC